ACTCACCTTGTCTCTATCATTAGCATTCACTTGGAACTCCATATTATTTTAAGGAGTTAACTTTTTCTTACGTGACTTGGATAGTTCTTCAACGTTTATGAACACCTGTACGAGTATTTATGTCCTTTGTCAAGGCCTGCAGGATGTGCCTAAGATTTTTTTAAAAGTAATTTTAATCAAATCTCATTTATTAAAGTAAATATCTGAAATAACACATCCTACTTATACTGCTTCCCTTTTGTGTCTAAGGATTCCTGTCAGATTTGAGCTTTTTTTGCTGGGACAAAGTTGAGATGATTACCTGGATGTAAGGATCTCAACACAGAGAAAGTCTGTTATTACTAGTAGCAGCAAACCCAACGGAACACATCTCACCCTATCATGAGTAATCCTTTTCCTCAGCAAGAAGTGGAGATTTGCTCCACGCCCACTGCCACTAGTTCTGCCTTTGCAGGACTTGAAGAAATCTCATATGGAGACAAGAGGCAGCTACACGCTGAAGAAATGACTTGCAGAGAAGGTAAAAAGGCAAGAAATGTAATGCTTCCTGCATAGCAGAAATTGAAATATCCTGTCTTTTAATCCTGCAACATAAACGTTAGAATCCTAAGAATTTTCATTCTATACAGAAGGAGCCAACGAAAGCAGAGACTAAGCAGGGAAGATCGTAGAAGTACAAACAGCAAACAAGGAGGAAGAAACAATAAAAACAAAGTCTATAAACATGTCATCCTGAGCATTAAGGTTTTATGGATGCAATTGATTTATGGCAGTAGGGAAAAAAAGGTTACAAAATTGACTGAGTTTATCATAGCTTAATGAGATTGTACTTTGGGGGGATTCTTATCTTGTGTTCTAATCCACTCCTTTTTCCCACAAGTAAGTCTCCAACAGGCATGCATATGAACTCCAGGACATGAACCAACTGTAAATCAGTGTGAGGGCTTTCATCTGAGAAATGTGAATTACTCAATTTACATTAGTGAGATGTTAACAACTGAAACCTACCAAGGTCATTTTACATACCACTTTGCTAAGTATGGTCAGAGGCAGGCACCCATTGCAGGAAAATATAAAAGCTTTTGATCGGAAAATATTCAGGGATTTAGATCTTTTGGTATCGCTTAATTAAGCAAGCTGTCATACCAATAAAGAATTTTTTTTATTAAGACCTCAGATTGATATTGATAGAACTGCACTTACTGACATCATTCCAGGGTAGGTGGCTCCAGCCTGTGAAGACTGTATCATCAAAAAACCCCCAAAGATTTAAACAGAAATCACATCCTGTACATTCAAAAAAAAAAAAAAAAAAGAAAGGTTAATGATTGAGTTGCAAGTGAGAACAGATAACCTGTAGCAGGTTTTTTCCCCTGTCTTTTCACAACAAAGGTCATGATAAACACTCTTTGTGTCATTTTAATATTCCATATTAAAGCTCTACTTTGAAACGTAGACTATTGTGTTCGGTAGTTCATAGACTTTTTAATTACAATAAAAATTTAAAGCAGTGTTTCGTAGAGTTACATGATACTCTTGTATCATGTATACTCATGTTACTTGATTTTAATGAGTACGCATCTCCAATTAACTTCTCTGCTTTTAAGTCCCCTCTCCTACTTTTTGGTAACCCTCCCTTAAGTAACAGATGTGATCGCATCCTCATCAAGACATTACTCTATATCATACATGCTTTAGTACAGCTTAGTAACAAATTGCTTCTAAAGTTCGTAATTGATTCTGTGTTAGCAAGTAAGCCTGTTATTTTGACTAAATGAGCTCTAAGAACTAATACACATTTTTATCCTTTAAAGGCAAATCAGACTAACATTTATAAGCCTTTCCTGCTG